GGTAGTGGCAGGTGGAGATGGGGAAGGAGGCCTGAATATAATCAAATTCATTGTATGAAATTCTTGAATCAATAACATTTAAAAAAAAAAAAAAAAAAAAAAAAAAAAAAAAGGGATAACAGTAGTGAATGGGAAGGCAGGGCTGTTGGAGCAATGAGTTTGTTATTAAGACTTCTGGGGTGGAGGAAGTGCTGGATGTGGTGGCTGGGATCCCAGAAAGATCAGGAAACCATCAGTGAGACCCTGGTTCTGGCTGCAGGAACATGGTCTGGTCAGGTGCTAGTGTTTGACATCCCTGCTAAGGGTCCCAACATTGTATTGAACGAGGAGCTGGCTGGGCACCAGATGCCAATCACAGATATTGCCACCGAGCCTGCCCAGGGACAGGTGAGTTCTCCCCATTCTAGTGATCCTCATCCTGGGAAGCAACAGGCCTGGGTTTGAGTCTTGACTCTCCCACCAGGCAGTAGAGTGATTTTGGGCACATCTGCACTTACCTAGATCTCAACTGCAGGCCTAGAGAAAAACATGTACTTTGCATTTAAGTGGCATTTTTAAAACAAAACACCAAGGCTTTCCAATGCTGGTATGAATCCAGGAGTTGGAGCCAACCGTTTCCAAGAGGTTCCCCAAATGCTACCCATTCCAGCCCAACTCTAGTTTCAGCCCTTACAGAATGCTGCCCCTCCTCTTCCAGCTCCCCCTGAATCCCCTTAGAGATTAACCCTGCATGGGCACTACCCTCACAGAAAACTGTTCTCTCACTTGGATTCTTTTTGAAAGTGTTTTATTTATCATTTTATGTGTATGAGTATATTGCCTGCATGTATGCACATGCACCCACGTCATGCAATGCTCTCAGAGGTCAGAAGAGGACATCAAATTTCCCTGGAGCTGGAGTTAAGGACAGTTGTTATCCACCATGTGGGTGCTGGGAATCGAACCTGGGTCCTCTGCAAGAGTAGCCAGTGCTCTTAACCTCTGTGCCATTTCTTTGGACCCCTCACTTGGATTCTTGAGAACAGAGTGTGTATTTATATAATTTATATCCTCCACAGCTCATGATTTGGCTGCCTGGTACAAGGTCAGGAGGCCCAGGGCCTAGTCATGATTGTGATTGGTTCATTGCAAAAGCCCCAAAAGTCATGACATTGTAGCCTCAGTTTTGTCACCTATACAGTAGGGACAATTATGTATCCCTTTCTAATCCATGATTGCCATGGGGAGGTGGTGTTATGAGGCTCTCTAAGGAAATACAAGGAGTCCATGTTTCTTAAGGGAACCCTTGGGGAGGTTTCTGGTGGCTCCAGTTGGTAAAGGAGCCACCTCTTGCCTTTTCCCTGAAGAGGAAAAGATACAAGCATGACCTCTTTCCCTCCACCCGCCCCCCTCATGCTCTATACTCTAGACCACAGCAGATGGTAAAGGGAAGAGCTGACCCTGCCTTTCTCCTCAGGACGGTGTTGCTGACATGGTGACAGCAGATGATTCAGGTGTGCTCTGTGTCTGGCGGTCAGGACCCGAGTTCACATTACTAACCCGCATCCCAGGATTCGGGTAGGAGAGGCAGAAGTTGGCTATGGCCTTTCTGAGGTAACTGCAGGGTGGGGAGAGTAGTCTGGAGAAACCAAAGTTGAACCATCACGCTTGCAGGGTTCCATGCCCCTCTGTGCAGCTGTGGCAGGGGATCGTGGCAGCAGGCTATGGAAATGGGCAAGTGCGTCTATATGATGCCACCACAGGAGCCCTCCACATCCAGATCAATGCCCATGCCCGAACCATCTGTGTCCTGGACCTAGCTCCAGAAGTAGGCAAGGTCAGTCTCCCACATCTCTAAGAACCTTTCCTGGTGCTTGTCTCTGTGGCAGGGTAGCCCCACCCCCAGGGTACTTGTACCCTTGATCCCAAACCTGTCCTGTCAGGGCATTCTGACTCTTGTTCATCCCTCATGGGCTTTTCTCTTACAGCTACTTTCTGCAGCTGAAGACACCTTTGTGCATATCTGGAAGCTGAACAGAAACCCAGACAATGGGTCCATTGAGGTATGTATTATGGAAGAGTAGAAATGGGGACCTAAGCATAAGGTGGGCAGCAGGCCCTGACTAGCCCTCTTCTCCCCCAGGTGGAACACTGTCACGGCGAATGTGTATCTGACACCCAGGTGTGTGGTGCTCGGTTTTGTGATCCGTCAGGTGGCTCCTTTGCTGTGACAGGTTATGACCTTGCCGAGATCCTGAGATTCAGCAGTGTCTGAGAGAACAGCTTTCCCTTCCCCCTTTGTATTTATAAAGTATTCCCTCCACCAAGTGCGTCTGATCACTCACTATCACAGCCATGCTTCTAAACATGAAGCCAAACTCCAAGGAGGCGGGAGAGGCAGGTTCAGAGCACACAGAGGCTCAGAGACCAGGTGAAGGTGGCTGTTAAATAGCTTTAATGGTCAATGCAGGAGTCACAGGAGGTGCATTCCTCCCCACTCTCCAGTGCTGCACTCAAGACTGGTTAGTGCAGGAGATAGGGCAGGGTTGTTCCAGTTTTCTCCCAGGAAGGGTTTAGGGGATCCCAGTTAGCTCCAGGAGTGGTCCCCTCAGTACCATAGCAAACTTACAAGGGGCTTCTGTTCCCCCTGCCCACCTTTCCCCTAGTCCAGTGGAGGAAGAGGAAGCCCAGCTGGCCAACTGGCTCCCAGAAGCCCTGGACCCAGAGTTCAGCTGCCCATGGGTCATTTTCTTTTCTGGCTGACCTTTTTTCCAGGGCCTCTCTCTCACACTGGGGACTGGAGCCACATGCGGAGCTGGCTTTTGCTGTAGAGGCCTCTGGATCCTGGGGATTGCTGCAGGGGGGGAGGTGCAACCAAGCGAGAAGCCCCAGGGGAATGGTCTGGGGGAACAGCATCCAGGGAAAAGGTTCGGGGTCGCCCCCAGGGCAGGGGTTGTGTCCAGACTGGGGCTGAAGCCACTGAGACAGGTGAGCAGGGGCTAGACAGGGCAGGCTGGTCTGTAAACATAGCTAGCCAGGGTGGGGGCTTCTCCAGCCTTGTGCCCTCCCGCTGGGCCAGGATGTCTGTCACCGCTGCGATGTCATCCAGCGGTTCAATAGCTGTGGCACCAGGGAGGGGTAAGGGGAGGGGGCTAATCAGAGCTCAGGCCTGGGCCTACACAGCCCTGACCAACCTGCACATCCCTGATGATCACCTGTCACTGTAATAGGAAGAAAGCAAGGCCTGGATCTCAGCTGAGAGGGCGCTATTCTGCAGGAGCAGCCCCTCACCTGGGCCCTCTGAGGCCACAGGCTCAGATGAGACTGTGGGACATGGGGCAGGTATGGGGAGGGGATAGGGGAGCAGAAGTGAGTAAAGAAACCAAAACAAGAAAAATGGAAGCAGTGCCAGGCAAGTGAGGGTGAGAGGAGACAGGAATTCACATGCAAAAAGGGAAACAGAAAGGAAGAAATTAGAATAGATATCCATGAAATGAATCTGCTTCTTTGGGGTTTGTTTTGAACCTGGATAGAGGTAGTTGTAAGAATTGAAGAGGAGAAAGGAATACAGAGGGGCTGAGTGGGACTTGGGTCCCCAAGTATGCTTTCTCTCTATTTGTATTACCTGTGTTCCCTTGAGGCCCCCAATCCTACTTCCCATCAGTTCCCGGTGACCTTCCTCTCACTCACCCATCTCATGGTACAAGGACCCCTGCTTGGCCAGTGCTTGGGGGGGTTTCCGGGGAGCAGGAGTTTCGATTTTCATGACTTCATCACAGCACTGCTTCCACTGGCCTACAGAGAAGAGCACCAATTGTAAGAGCCGCCGTACTGCCAGCGTCCTGCCACATTCCCTCCCTCCATACACTCCATTTTGTAAAATAAGACGCCAGTCTCTCCCAGACTTCTCTCTTACTCATGTCAAAGAAAAGCTGCCACAGAGCCTCCATCCAGTTCTGTAGGGTTTCTCGGCTCTCCACCTGGAGGGTGTGTGTCACCTCCTCATCGCCATACCGGTTGCTGATACTGAGGGTAAAAGGCCGCCCTGGGGCCTGCTCCAGCTCCCCTGCCCTGACCCTAGACTCCTGTGAGAGAAAGCAGAGGGCTGCCTCTACCTCTCCTTTCAAGCAGCCCATCACCCCTGCGTTGAAGAAAGTGCCTCTGGAGCTTTTGCTGAGCCCTTACTTGCCTCTTACTAACTAGAGTGCAGGAGTACAAAGGGATAGCAAGGGAGGGCTGGGGATGAAGCACCAGTACTGATCCGGGAAGAGAAAGAGGTTGAGACAAAGAAAGGGGGACCAAGCAAGGCAGGGAAGGACGGAGGTGGGCAAAAGCACCAAGGTCCAGAGTGGTCCCCCAATACTTCAAAAACTTAGGCAGGGGCCTGAGGTATAGTGCAGTGGTGGGGTAGTTGCCTAGCACATGCAAGGCTCTAAATTTGATCCCAGCAGCACACAAAGCCAAAAGGAAAAAAAAAACAAAAAACAGAAAAGCCAACAAAATGGCGAGGGGGTATAGCAGCCCAACTGGACCTAGGTAGGGAGAGAAAAACAGCAAGCGATAAAGCAGTACAAATTGGAAGAGGACTGGAGGGGGAGAACGACAAACTGCCTAGACAGGCAGTAGAACCCTCGCAGACTTGGCAGGAGCTAGGGATGCTGAGTGAGTAGGATGACTTTTCTTAGTGATGCTTGGGGTAGGGGGATATGGAGGTGTGGTCGCTCTGTAACCAGGCCCTCAAGCAGAGCATGGTGCTCTTAGGAACAGGAGGCCACGTTCTCTGTGTCTGAGGTCTGAGCCCACCCTCCTGGGGTCTGAAGCAGAGGTGCCTGACTCTGGGCACTAGGTGGCCTCACCACCTGGGGACCCATCACCTTGTTGATAGCGATAGTAAACAGTGGCTCTTGCCCAGTGTCTGCATCCCCAGGCTGCCGGTAACAGAAGAGGTTTGTGCCTTTCAGGACTCCATGCACATATGTCCCATTCTGTAGCTCCCCAGCTTGCTGTAGAAATGACTCTGTGTTTGGGGGGAGCCCCATCCCACAGCACCTTCTTCCTGGTCCCCCACTGTTACCTTGCTCTGTATGCTCACCCTCCTGTTTGTTGCCCCCTTGTCTTCCCATACCCATACCCCCATCCTCATTTTCTAGTCATCCTATTCCTAGGTGGTCCAGCTCTGCCTCCCTCAACCCTTCCACTCCTCAGGGCCCCCTCACCTTCACCCTGAGGGTACCACTTGCAGTGGGCTGAGTCATGCAGAGAGGCTGAGCTGCCAGGCGGCAACACACACTACCATAAAGGGGCAGTGAGGCAGGGTTATCCTCTGGGGGAGGAGGAAGTGCAGGGTGAGGGTTGGGAACAAAAAGGAAACTACCCCATGGTCCCTCTTGGTGTCACCAGTGCCCCCCACTACCCCACATACCATGGCTGGAGAGAGTAAGGTCGTGTGTTCGGAACCCATCTTGTACTGCTGCTAGAGTAAGGGTGGTGTGAGCCAAGAGGTGGTAACGAGGACCACTGAAGGAAGAAAGGGGACACCAGTGGAGTGGGTGTGTGGCAGGGGGGAACTGCAAGGGCTGTGCAGGTCTGTCTCATTGCTAGGCTGCTCCACAGAAAACTAGCTTGCCTCCCCACATGGGGATAGGAAGAAATGTTTCCTGATCTTTTGCTAAGCACCTGGACCTGGGCTTATACATTATCTCAAAGGGATTCCTTGACAGCCCTCTGTGGGTGGTGTTCTCAGTCAATAGATGAAGCAGCTTCATCAGAATCCCTGGGACTCCAGGTGACTGTAGGTTCTACTGCAGAGCCTGTTCCAACTACAGAGCACTGTTGTGTATTCACATGGGTATGTGGCTAGCGGAGGAGGGGGTGTACACGTGTGCCTATGTGTGCGGAGGCCAGAGGTTGACATCAGGTGTCTTCCTCAATTGCTCTCCACTTTATTTACAGAGGCTGGCTCTCTTGCTGAACCCAGAGTTTGCCAATTCAGGTAGTCTAACCAGCTTGCCCTGGGCCTCTCCTATCTTCACAGTGAACCCTGGGATTATAGGAGGCCGCTACATCTGCCTGGCTTTTACATGTGTGCTGGGATCAAAACTCTTGTCCTCATGCTTGCACAGCAAATGTTTTATCCACTGAATCATTTCCCTAGTTCCTGTTTTTGGTGTTTTGAGGCAAAATGTCATGTAGACCAGGCTGACCACAAACTCACTAAGCAACTAAGAATGAGCAACTTCTGATCCTCCTGCCTCTACTTCCTGTGTGCTGGTGTGCACCATGCCATCCTTTATGCAGCAGTAGGTGTTGAACCCAAGTCTTCATGAATGCTAGGCAAGTACTTTGCCAACTGGGCTACATCCCCAGCCCTATAAGATTTTTTTGTGGGAGGGCTGGAGAGATGGCTCAGCAGTTAAAAGCACTGGCTGCTTTTGCAGAGGACTGGAGTTCAATTCCAGGTCACCCACATGGTGACTAACAGCCAGATCCAGAGGATCTGATGCCCTCTTCTGGCCTCCCCAGGCATTGCACACACGGGTGCACTTATATACATGCAAGCAAAACATTCATACTCATAAAATAAAATTTAAATTTAAAATAAGATTTTTTTGTGGCTGCTAAACAGGACCCCAAAGCCTGGATCTCCTTGCCTTCCTAATGTCAGCCTTGTAGCTCAGGCTCAGCTCTAGGGTTGATCAGAATGTCTGCTCATTCAGTGTGAAGTGGGGAGGATGAAGCAGCTGAGGACAGTGGGTGATACAGGGTCTTACCCCACAGCTGGGGTGGGAAGCAGGATGGGGCTGCTCCCAGAGCCTCCGGCACTGTCCAATGATGCCCTGACACGTCTTCCTGAGGAGCGGCCTAGGGAACTGCTGAGTTTGGTTGCAAGCCTCTTGGGAGCGCCAGTCAGGGGCCCCTCTTCTTCCACGCAGACTCCATATAGCTCCAGCCGTAGTTCAAAGTCTGGCCCTGCCTCAGTGCTACATAGGTGCCGGAAGAGGAAGATGGTGGTCACAGGGTGGAGGTGGGGAGATAGGGACTGGAAGGGTGGGGGTGGGGTGAGGATGAAGTATCCAGGAAGGTGCTGAGTGAAGGGGGTAAGTACAGGATAGTGCCACAGGGAAGCCCAGGAGCCCACCTGTCTTTCCCCTCTCCACCTCCTCTCCAACTCTACCCTTCAGAACACCATGTGGAGGACTAGAGCAGAGTGGAGGAAGGAAAGGACCAGGCACTCACAAGAGCACATTGCTCTGAAAGGAGATGTCTGTGAGAGTCCTGTCCACCAGGATCATCTCTGTGTCCTGAATCTGTTCTCCAAGCTGCAGCAGCAAGAAGACAGCCCAACGGTGGAGGTCTGGGACAAAGGGCAAAAAGTAAAATAATAATTTTAAAAGATTTTTAAGTTGCCCCCAAGAGTCTCCACCCTGAATCTATCCCAGGGCATGGAACTCACCGCCTTTGTTCTTAAAATATTCTGTGTCCTTCCACATGAGTGGGATCCGGAGGTCTGAGGGGCAGAGGGGTAAGAAGAGGGGTTGGGAGCAGCAGGAGATGGTGAGGGATGTCAGCATTTAGGGAAGGTGTGCTTCTTACCAGAGATGCAGACCCGGCCACGGCAGGGAGAGCGCTCAGCGGGTGGCCCACTGTCAGAAGGCCTGTGGGGACAGCACAGAGTCCTAGCCTGGTCTCTACACTCTTCCCCCTTGCTCTGATTCTCAAGGGCTCTAAAAGCCCCCTGGTTCTTAGCTAGGCTGCCATGGCACAGCCAAGGGACTGGAGGAGAGCTGGTGACAGAACCCAGAGGTTTGCTGGCCTCAGAAACACTTGAGCTACATTAACTCACAGGCCTAGTACTCAAGGTTGGCTCTTCCGCCTCCAAACGTTCTTCCTGACCTTCTCCAGACTCCTTCCAGGGACATGTGGGGCCTTGAGGGGACAAGTGTCACCAGAGACTCCCTTTCAAAGGCTTCTTTTCCACTAAACCATGGGCTTAGGTTTTCTTTGCAACTCTAGAGTGCTTATTCCCACCATCCTACCAACTCTCTGTATCCCCCTTTCTCTTATTTTGAGACGGTCTCACTTTGAAGCTCAGGCCGATCTCAAACTCTCAGCAATCCTCTTGCCTCAGTCTCCCAAGTGCTGGGATTTTAAGCACAGGCTGCCACACCCAGCTTTCAGTTCTTTAATAAATATGGCATGAAGAGCAATGTGTTTAGCTGCCAGGGACTTGGGTGGTCCTCACATCACACCGGGAAGGCTGTGTGGTGACTGGCAGATCTGCCCATGACTACCTGAGGAAGCCGTGCCCCTTGCCTGCTTGCCCTCTTGTTGCACAGGGCAGTGGTGCAGTGAGTTTTCTCCTTCAATGGGCTTCACAGTGAGATCCTGGCAACCTCTCTTTCCACTCCTCCATACCAGGAAGTGGTGGGACCCTCTCCTCATGCAGCCTCAATGAGACAGGCAGGACACTTTACCAGAAGCTAATTCTTCAGATGACTCATTTACCCAAAGCAGTCAATCCTCAGAATGATCAATTTGACAAATATTTTCTCTCAGATATTTTAGTTTAACTCCAGCATCACTGAGACATCTCACAGTAGACTGATTGTTAGAGTTGAGTGTCAGGGCAGTGCATGATTCACATATAGATGCTGAGCCCTTTTACAATGCACAATATAATTTCTATGAATAGAGAACTTTCTTTAAAGTGTTTCTTACTATTATTTGCTTTCCTAACTCATGTCTCTGATGGTGAACCTCAGGTACAAGCTATCGTCAATCTGTTGTAGGTAAACTGGCCATTCAACAAATTGGCAATTTGGTGAACTGGCTTTTAGAAAATTACTTTTCCAGAGGCCAGCCAGTCATACTTATCAGATCATGAGCAGGCCTCAGCAAATTAGTATTTTTGCATTACTTGTTATTGTTTCAACTGTCAGCTTCCACCAGACCATTGCCAGCCCCAGCCACTCTGGATGCCCCACCACAGTGGTCAAACACCATGTCTTTTCCACCAGGACAAGCCTTCCCAAGGGAGTTACCTTGAGAAGGTTAGTCAGAGTTCTGTGCACTTCCATTGCACTTATTGTATTCCCACTAATAAAGCCTCTAGCCCCAGATGCCACACCTCCCATGCTCACCGCCGGCCTGTCTTCCCCAGCACCTGGGCCTCTTTGCGCCGCTGCAGCTCGCCCATGTAGCTGAGAATACGGCTGTTGCACACCAACAGACTCTTGGTGGCCTCCAGAGCCTGCTCTCGCTGGGAGCAAGCTGCCAGCAGCTTGCACGCCCCTTCCCTCATCCGGATCTCATGGTCTAGCTTCCTCTGCAATTCCGTGTCCTAGCCAGAGTCAGGAGAAAAGGGGAAAGGAAATAGCAGTCAGAGAGAAGGCTGAGGCATCCCCCTACTCTAACCCCAGTCTCAAATGGGCTGTGGTCCAGGAACAAAACAGAAGCTAATGTTTTATACAGGTCAAGAGCAAACCTGTTGTCTCGCTCTCAGCCACTCAAGACTGCAGATAGTCTCGTGTATTAGATGGTTAGGAGTATAAATTCTTTCTCCTTCTTTTGATGACAATTTGGAGGAATCTATGGAAACATCCACATATTTTTTGACCCAACTAACCAATCCTAAGAGTTACGGTTACAGGGATAACCAGAAAAAAGCCATATGTACAAAAAAACTCATTAAGCACTGTTTTATTTTTATTTGTGTATATGCCATATGTGAGTGCTCAGAGGCCAGAAGAGGGTGTCAGATCTCCTAGAACTAGAGTTCTAGGCCATTGTGAGCCACCTGATGTGGGTACTGGGAACCGAATATAGGTCCTCTGGAAGAACAGCAAATGCTATTAACCACTGAGCCATCTCTCAGCCCCCAGCATTGCTTTATACACTCAAACTAAAAGGCTTTCAGTAAGATTAAATAAGTTGGGGGCTGGAGAGATGGCTCAGCAGTTAAGAACACTTGCACTTTTTCCAGAGGACCCAGGTTCAATTCCCAGCACCCACATGGCAGCTAACTACTGCCTGTAACTGCAGTTCCAGGGGATCAAACGCCCTCTTCTGGCCTCTGTAGGCTTTGCATGACACCAGTGCACTTACATACATGCAGGCAATACACTCATACACATAAAAAATAAGGGGCTGGAGAGATGGCTCAGCAGTTAAGAGCACTGACTGCTCTTGCAGATGCAACAATAATAATTATAGAAAAGGTCATGAGAGGCTAGAGAGATGGCTCAGTGGTTAAGAGCACTGACCGCTCTTGCAGAAGCCCCGGGTTTGATTCCCAGCACCCACATGGGAGTTAGGAACCGTCCTTAACTCCAGTTCCAGGGGAATTCTGAAACTCTCTTCTGACCTCCATGGCATTGCACAACACGGGTGCACTCACATACATGCAGGCAACATACTCATACACATAAAATAAAATAAATTTTAATTTAAAAAATATTTTTTAAAAAAGATTAAATAAGTTATATCTGTACCAGAGTGAGGTAGATGTGTATGTAGATGTGAGTCTACAGAAAATACAATCTGAAAAAAAGACAGCAGAACAATATTATACATGCAAGCCAGGCAAGGTGTAATCCTCCACTTGGGAGCTACAAGCAGGAAGGTAAGGAGCTTAAGACCATTCTCAGCTACGTAGTAAATTCGAGGCCGGCCTGGAATGCGAGACTCTATCTCAAAAAACAAAAATACAAATATTTATGCATGATATATGCATATTTTTATATTTTATATTCATGTATAAATATACATATATTTGCACATATAAGTGATTGTGGAAGCCAGGAATGAAAACAGATTTGTGGGATCCACAGAGAAGCACACTACCTGCAAAGTTCACACATACTGAACAGAGTTCTATACAGCCCCCCAAATAGGACATCTACCACCTTGGGCTCTTTGAGCTTGGGAAAGGAGGTCAGAGGTAAGCAGAGGTTGGTAAGGTGTGAGGGGTTAGATAGGCTGTGTGGGAGGGCCAGAGGGGAGGACCTGGGAGAGGATTTCAGTAATATTTGCTCAGAAAGGAATCATCCTGGAGCTTAAAAGGCACTGGACATTGGGCTAGGGGTGTAGCTCACTTAGTAGAATGTTTGTCTGGCAAGCTTGGGGCCCTGAGTTTGATTCCCCAGAACTGCATAAACTAGGCATAATGGTGCAGCACTCAGGAGGTGGAGGCAGGAAGATCAAGAAGTTCAAGATCACCCTCTGCTAATATACTTAAAGGCCAGCCTGGGCTACATAAGGAGACCTTGCCCAGCTTGTTTGCAAATTCCTCCTTCAAAATCTCTTTTTCTGGGTCACTGTGCAAAGTCAGACTTTTGCCTGAACCATCCACCTTATGCTCTTCAAAGCAGGCCAACTCAGTCCCAAAACCCTCTTCACCAGGAAGCCTTCCCAACCTGCCTTGCAGCTCCCAGTTGCATTAGGCAATTTACTCAACCTCTCAGAGCCTTGGTTTTCCAACTTTTTAAATGGGGATGAAGAGTTGGGGAAATGGGTAAAGTGCCTGCTGCAAAAGCAAGAGGACCTGAGTTCAGTACTACCTAGTAGGCATGCTGGCCTGTGACCCTGGTGCAGAGCAGAGACAGGAAGATCCCTGCTGGCCAGCTTTCCTAGCTCTGGGTTCAGTGCTACTGGTTCAGTGAGAGACCTTGTCTCAAAAAAAGAAGGTGGAGGATCAGGGAGATGGCTCAGCAGATGAAAGTATCTGCCACCAAGCCTGAGGAACTGAATTTGGTCTCCAATTCAGTTTGGTAGAAGGAGAGAACTGACTCCCACAAGTTGTCCTCTGACCTCCACACATGAGCTGTTGCATGTGTACATCCTACACATACACACAGTCATACATATATAAAAAATAAATACATGTAATTTAAAAATATGGTGGAGGCTGCCAGGCATGGTGGCGTGCATCTTTAATCCCATCACTTGGGAGGCAGAGGCAGGCCAATCTCTGTGAGATCAAGGCCAGCCTGGTCTACTTAGTGAGTTCCAGGTCAGCTGGGGCTACAGGGACAACCTAAGAAAACAAACAAACAAACAAACAAACAAACAAGGTGGAGAGTGATAGAGGAAGACACCCAGTGTGGACCTCTGGCCTACGCACACACACACACACACACACACACACACATACACACAACTAGAGGTGAAAATAGTTCCCATATCCTAGTGCTATGAGGTTTCTGTGAGACTCAGCTCAATGCCTGGTGCCAGATACCCATGTATGGCAGGAATGACAACTTAAACAGTGAAGCTTCTTTGGTAGAAACCCTGTCCACCAGTGAATGCTGGAGAATCCCTGTGCTGTCCAAGGCTCCACATTTAAGCCCCAGCCAGGTTAATGGCTCCTTCATAAGTGCCTTGTCATGACATACGTACGCGTACACAGGAAGATGGAAACAGATTCTGCTTGCGCCTTTGCAGTAATCAGGGGAGGCTTCAGAGAGGAGGTATATGACATCTGTTCAGGAAGCCAGGCAAGTGGAGGCATGCACTTGGGAGCAGGGACTTGACTACCCAAACCTGTCTTTGCCTCATATCAGCTCTCCTCCATACCTCCTATTCTACATCTTAAAGTCCTTCTAACCAAAGCCTTGTCAGCCGGCAGGCACTCTTCCTTCGATGCCTATTGGCAGGGGAGTGGTGGGGCAGCTACCGCTAGGAGGCACCTATTCCCCGCAAAATATACCGACCCAGTCCCAAAGTCACCTCTCCTAGGAAGCCCTCCCAAACTACTTCAGTGCTCCCAGTCGCGCTTTGCACCAGGGGTCTACTTCAGCTAAGCTTCTGTTTGCCTTCTGCTACTCAGTTCCTGCCTCAAATACCCCAAAATGAGTGAAATCAAGGACGCATCCTCAAACCCCTGGTGGATCACGGCACTCACCGATCCCTCCCTAGCCCTGTCCATGGAGGGGCAGAAGAATGGGGGTTGGGGGTGGGGAGTGGGGGTTCCTGGACTGCAGCAGCCCAGGTGGTGGCGTGGCGCAGGGAATTGAAGGAGCTGGCACAGCCGTATGTTCTCCTCCCGCAGTGCCAGTGGCGCCGGTGACATCAGCTCCCAATTGCTGCGAGAGCCGCGGAGGGACGCCAGGGCGCCCGCGGCCTTGCAGGAGACTGACTGAGCCCTCTGTGGCATCTCCACAACCCGCATCTCCGCCATCGGTGTCGCCTATGGACCGGACCATGGAGCTCCCAGGCGCCAACTCCACCTCTCCCTGGCAAGTGCAGCTTGCCAGGGGTGGGGTGTGAGTATGAAGGGACAAAACCCAGACTCTAGAGAGGTCGACAGACCCAGCACTGACCCACGGAACCCTACAGGGGACCATTTGCACAGCACCCCCAAACCCACTCTTCCTCAGCCCACTGCCAAGAGTGCCCTCTCATCCTTTCAGGCAGAGGCTCTGAGTCCTTGTGCTTCACTCCTTACCCCACTCCTGCCTCATCAACCCAGGAATAGCTCCTAGCTCCCTCTCCACCCCACATACACCCACCCTCCCCAAGTGGGAGTCTTTCCCCGCCAGCATGGGAAAGATCCCGGAGCTGACTGTCCTCGACCTGGGTCAGATCCCAAGGGGCCAAGAGAAGATGAATCACCAGCAGAAGCCCTGGCTTGCATTAGGCTGTGTATGGTCACCCCCTCCTCCTCTGCCCCTGACTTCCTGCTCTGCTTCCCATCAAAATTCTGTTCCCACCAGGGCTAAGTTCAAATCCTGGTTTGGGGACTTGACAAACTGGGAACTTCTACCCTCTGGAGCATGAGTCTGTAGACCTGGGAATAGTCACCTCTTTCATAGCATTACCTCAGGATTTAATTAGAAAACCTAAACTCTACCTGGGCCTGGCACATGCTCAAGTTTTGGGCTGGGAATGTAGCTCAGTTGGTAGAGTACTTGCCTAGTGTGCATGAGGCTAAGGGTTCAATTCCCAGCAGCACAAACACCAAATGCAATGCTTGCCTTTAGTAATCCTAGCATTTGGGAGGTAGAAGCAGGAAGGTCAGAAATTCAAGGTCATCTTCAACTACAGAGCCTGACTTACATGAGACCTTGTCTTTTTTTTGGTGGGGGGGGTCTTTTTGAGACAAGCTCTCCCTGTAGTTACAGCTGGCCTGGATTCACTAGTGGAGACCAGGCTGGCCTCAAACTCACAGAGATCTGCCTGCCTCTGCCTCCAGAGTGCTGGGATTAAAGGCGAGCGCCACCACACCCAGCTGAGACCCTGTCTTAAAAAAAAAAAAAATTAAGAGCTGGCAAGATGACTTACTGGGTAAGGGTGCTTGCTGCCAAACTTGATAGCCTGAGTTCAATCTCCTGGATCCCACCA